ATTCACATAATTGGTATTAACAAAAAAAAAAAAAGTCTCTCCAAAAAGTTGATTTGAAATAAGTTTCAACCAAACCTCACTTCAAATAACTTTCATCAATAGTTTTGTTTTGTAATGAAAATATATATATATATATATATATATATATATATATATATATATATATATATATTTACTAGATTGTTTTTTTCTCTAATTATTTATTTATGGGTGGTTTGGACTTTAGTTCGTTTGAATGAATTTTTGTAAATATTTGTAGCTGTTCGTGTGGCTGTAAACCTCGTAATTTTAGCAATTCACAGGGCTCACTACCTAATATCTATCTACAAGGCTAGCATCATCGCTAACACACTGTTTTATGTTGGTCTAGATCTCAGATTCCATAATCCACCCATTTGGAGGCTTAGTGTACTCGCGGGCACATTGTCCCATATGGATCTCACATTCTACGAGGCCTACAATCCATCACTTGGGAGGCCAGCATTCTTGTTGACACATTTTTTGACGTTTGGTTCTCACATTCTACCTTTCTTGGGACTCACAATCCATTCGGCCCAACATCTGTGTCAGACTTTAGTGCAACTTATTGTTAGTTCGAATTAATCTAGATATTATTAATCAATTAATATTTGGAGAACATATTAGTTATTGAATATAAGTGAGATATTTAGTTAATATTTTTACTCTGTACTATATTTTATTTTATTCTCGAGTTTAATTAATTTATATTTTCCTTATTTGTAGGTGTATTAATTGGTAGCTTCTAACCTATTTAAACGTCTTGAATATCAATGAAGACAGAACGTTCGATACCAATTTTATTTTTCATTCTTAACTCTGTAACGTTTGCTTGAGTAATAATATTTTTAGATCTATTCACACTTTTGAGTGGTAAATATTATGTCACATTTGCTAGAATTTTTTTTAATCAACTTTTAAATTTGTTTTTAAAATTTGGAACATAAAATTCCTTAAATTTGAGTAGGTTTTAATTAACTCTCTTTCATTTTTCAACATCGAAATTTATTTCAAAAATATTTTTTAATAAAAATTGATGCGACCATTAATTTTAAAAATTAAAAAAAAACATACATAACAATGTTTACAACATCATTCACATGACAAATCGACCCTACGTGTTAAAATTAATTATATAAATAATTTTAATATTCTATATAATTATAATTAATCTCACAAACACTTATAATTTTTAGCAACATTTGTTAAGTTACTTTTATTATTATTTTAATAAAGTACTTTTTTTTTTTTAAAATTTGAAAGTACATTAAATGATACTTTTTTGGAATCAATTTTAGAATTGATGAATTAATAAAATATATATTTAAAATGGTAAGCGCATAATTGAAACCTACGCGCATTAATAATAATATAGCCAACAAAGTTAAATAATTAATATTATTTTAATATTTTCACCGACAAAAGTCATACCAACCATATCTCAATTACATTTTATATTGAAAAGGAAAAAGTAATACTAATAATTTAATACTGAGTCAACTTTAATACTATTGGTGCTTTCAATTATTGTTTAATTTTGCTTCATTAAAATTCTTAATATTAGTCTATAAATTATTATTTGCTTTATACAATTATATATATTAAATAATTACTTACGTAACAGATTTTAAATAATATATATATTGCGGTAGGTTGAAATGCCATACGAAATTATTCTCGATTTTTAATTTATAACGATGGTAATTAAATTTGATTGAGTTGAATTAAACTAATTTGATTTTTTTTTTTAATTTTAATATATATATATTTTTTTATTTATGATAAATTTATACATAATTTTTTTTATAATTTATTTTTCAACAACTCCCTCTTCGCGCATTCCAAAGGGGACCATGGTTCCGCTGGTGATTGCCATTGTGTTATTCTTCTTTAGTTGGCGAAGATACATTAAGTTCTTCTCGAAAAATCGGGTGCAAGGAGCTGAACTGCGGTTGAAACAACCCAGTCCGACCCACACAACCCATTCCACACAAACACATTGGTAAAAAAAAGGCCAAACCAAGACTGTTGGATGATGAAAGTCCCACATCGACTAATTTAGGATGTGATCATGGGTTTATAAGTGAGGAATACTAACTTCATTGGTATGAGGCCTTTTGGGGAAGCCCAAAGCAAAGCCATGAGAGCTTATGCTCAAAGTGGACAATATCATACCATTGTGGAGAGTCGTGTTCGTCTAACATGGTATCAGAGCCATGACCTAAACTTAGTCGTGCCAATAGATGGGTAAATCCTCGAATCCTCAAATATCGAACAAAGAACTCTTAAAGAAAAAGGAGCCAAGCCCCTCCTCGAAGGCAGTAAAAAATGACTAAGACTCCAAAGGAGTCGAGCCTCGATTAAGGGGAGGCGCACTTTGTTCGAGAGGAGGTGTTGTATGATGGAAGCCCAAAGCAAAGCAAGATGAAGGATAAAAAAATAATTTTTAACCAACTAACCAAAAAAAAGTTATGGTTGGGTTCACTGTTTAAAAATGGTTGTTTGTGAGAGATCCCACGTTCGGTTGGAGAGGAGAACAAAGTATTAGTGTGTAAATCTCTCCTGCATTTTAATATCGACTCAGACACCAGATAGTGTACAAGCAAGGACGCTGGAGATAGAATAATATAATATACAGGGAGCAAGGGGTGGTGTATAGATATGTAGGGTTCGTTTTTTGTGCGAAGTGGTGCGAACATTGTGGGTTTCGGCTATTAAAGAGAGAACAGAAGCTTGGGTGCATATAGTTAGGTATAGACCATCTGCACAGCCCCTCCATGCATTTATGAAACACTTGGATGGAGCATCACCCTTAATATCAATCCAAACCAAACCCCTTTTATGGCCGTTCATCTCTCTCTCTCTCTCGGTTTGCATGTGACTTTGCTCAGAAACTACGACGCATCAATGGAACAGCAGCGGTTAGATAGAGACTCTTCACAATGGTATGATATTGTCCACTTTGAGCATAAGCACTCGTGGTTTTGGCTCATAGCAATGGAGATGTATTCCTTCCTTATAAACTCATGATCATTTCCTAAATTAGCCGATGTGTGACTTTCTCTCAACAATCCTCCTCTCGAACAAAGTACACTATAGAACCTCTCCTCTGAGGAATATGGAGCTCTCGAACAGTCTCCTCTTAATTGGGACTCGACCCTTTCTCTGGAGTCCTCGAACAAAGGAGATGTATTTCTTACTTATAAACTCATGATCATTCCCTAAATTACTCTCAACAATCCTAACATAAATGAAGCATTCTTTGCAAGGGTGTGGAAACCTCTCTTTTGAGAGAAAGCCCAGAAAGGAAAATCTTTCCCCTACCCAATAGTTATATGCTGTAAGCTGTTGTTGTTGCTTTTTTGCTTGCATCACATATAACACCAATTTCAATCTTTCAAATCTTGCTTTCAAAACTCTCTTTCGAAATCTCTCTGCCCCCGTTTTCTAAAACTTTCTTCTTAAACTGGGGCCAGAGGGTTGAACATACGTCGCTTGGTCGTAGACGACGCAAGAACGAATTGGCTACACAATCGCAAGTCCGTTGCTATAAAAAATGTGATTGTGACAAATGGTGAGGAAAATATCTACTAGTGGAGGATTTGAATCGTTACAACGACTCTATGCTACAAACACAGAGACCCATTATCTACTCATTCATATTACGATCGAGACCTTCTTTGTGTTACACAAAATTGAAGCAACAATCCAAACTCTCCAACTTTTTAAGTGGTCTCACTACAATCAACTCTGTCTCTTCAAACTACATTATTGTTTTCCCCCTTTTGTTAAGTAATTATATGGTCTACTCTACGAGTGTCTCATGCACAAAAATGGATTCTTTTCACATGCCTACTTATTATTAAACTCTAACAATCCTATGCCATTATTGTCCTACCTCAAGACACTCATATTAATGTCTAAACTTCATCTTCTTCTTAAACCATATGTTATTTATGCATGTGATTTGAACATCATGAACTCGATAATAGTCTAGGCACGTTTAATATCATAAACTCGTTGTTGTGACGTGAAGTTCACTCCAAAGAAGTCAAGGGTAAGTGGATGAATTTTGAAAGAGAAAAGAAAGTCACTCATTTGGAGGAGGACCCAACTAAGTTTAAAGTAAAACACGACACATTATAGGACTTGGAACCTAAATCTAAGCTAAAGCCGTCTCCTTTTTTGAATATCAACCGTTTAGAATTTAGGGTTTAGGGTTTAGGGTTTTGAATATCCATGCAATAATGACATTGATATGGAGTTTTAATTTGAATGTTGTCTCTCTCTCTCTTTCCCTTCTTTATTGCTCCTCTCAAATGTCCCATTCCTCACCTCGTTCTTATTATATGTTTGATGGGGAAATCTCATTATAGGGGACCCTCAAATGGGTTACCAAACACGTAATATTTTTGAATTTGTCATATCCCACATCAATTAGAGAGGCGAACGAAACATTATTTATAAGAGTGTGGAAACATTTCCTTAGTAGACGTGTTTTAAAATTGTGAGGCTGACAGCGATATGTAATGAGCCAAAGAGGGAAATATCTACCTGGGTTTGGACAATTACAAATGTTACTAGAGCCAGACACTGCATCGTGTGCTAGCATCTACGTTAGCCCCCAAAGGGTGGATTGTGAGATACAACATCGATTGAAGAGGGGAACGAAACATTTCTTCTCCCCAGTAGACATGTTTTAAAACTACGAGCCGGACGGAGATACATTATGGGTTAAAGTGGGGCAATATCTACTAAAGGTAGACTTGGACTGTAAAAATAGTATCAAAGCTAGACACTGATGATTCGCTGGCTCCTAATGAAGTGGATTGTGAGATACAAAATCAATTAGAGAAGAGAACGAAGCATTTGTTATAAAATTGTAAAAATCTACGATAACACGTAACATGCTAAAGCGGATAATATCAACAGTGATTCTCATCTTTGTAGGGTCGTCTGCCTTTAGGATTAGTCAAAAAGTGTATGAGAAAGCACAAGAAATTATTGAATTAGGTATATAAAGTATAGAGTTAATCTGTGCCAGAAAACTAAGCGACAGAAACCACTCTAAAACCCAAAACACAAATCCAACGCCCGACCACCACCACAACGGCCTCACTACTTCAAAGCTATGTTTTGTCTTTCTTTGGTCCCAAGAAACCCAACAAAAAAGGAACACAAATTCCTTCTTTTCCCCATTGTTCTACCCATTACATTACATTACATACAATACCAAACCAAACAAACCAAAACTATTCTGCCATTGCCATCCTCATCGTCGTCTCATCAACAGTGCTGTATACACCTCTCATTCTTGCTCTGCCTAACACCCACCTTTCTCTTCTTCCCATCCTTATCTGCTCTGTTCGTCACGGCGGAGGCGGAGGAGGATGTGCCCATGAACGTGTTTTCACTTTCAGAGCTCGAGAAATGGTGGTCCAGCACATTGGCCGCCGTGTCCGACCTCTGTTCTATATCCAATCCTCCTCTTTCGTACCCATTTATTACTATCTCCTGCACTGCCTTGAAGCATCTCCCCAACATTTCCTCTTCCTCCTCCTGCACCACCCGCAGTCCTTTTTAATCACAATCTCCCAATTATATATTTCTCTAATTTAAGATTGCATTTATTGCATTCTCCTCTCTCTCTCTGTCTCTCTGTCTCTCTGTCTCTCTGTTTTAATGAATTTTAACATAAAAGAGGAAAGTGGGGTATTTACTTTATTAACGTATGAACAGTTGAGAATTGCTTTTCTGAAGCATGGATATTGGATTGGGAAGAGCTCGTGTGCGGCGGAGAGCAGAGCAGAGGCTGCAATTACTGATGGCTTGAACTCCAAAAGCTCAATCCCTACGAACAAAGAAGCAAACACAATGTCTGTTGATTGATGCAGCAAGAATGTGAAGAAAAAAAGTTCCTTTTTTAGATTTTTAATTCATTACCATTTTGAGCTATGAAGATGATCTCTGTAGCTCTGGCCTTGAGAGCTTGCAACAATGGTGGGTCTCTGAGTTTGAAGAGGGAAATGAAGAAAGGGACGAAGGAGAAGGGAGTGATGGAGCGCATTCTCCATTTAAGAGCTCCCAAGATGAGAGATTCCATCCTGTGTACTGTTTGGGGATCAAAAATGAAGCCTTCATTCCCCTGTTTCAAAAAAACAGAGTCAGCTCTGCTTTTGCCATTTGGGTATTGCCTACTTGTTCAATAATACCTGAAAATCGAAGAGATTGTGCTCTGTTTGCTTCATTTTGGCAGCGAGAGAAACACAAGAGACGGCAAGAAGCCTCAAGACCCATGGCTTTGGTTGCTGTAAATAACGAACAACAATTTTCAAAACAGGGGAAACAGGGGAAGAACGAACGCTCTGTTTTAGTTTCAGTGAAAAGACATTACCGGCACTCCCTGAAAGGAGAAGAAGCGATCGAGGTAATTGACGGCAAGGTACGACAAGTGTGGATCGATGTTACAGCTACAACAGCACTGCAAATGAGAGAGAGAATCAGGGGAAAGAAGGCCATTTGGAGGAGTTAAAGAACAGAAGAAGAAATGGGTTACCTGAGAGATTAAAGAAATGGTGTCCCGTCGAACAGAGGAATCAGTAGGAGAAGAATGAAGGGTGTGGAGGTAGGTTGGAGAGAGCATGTGATCGGACTCGATGAGGAAGAGAGTGGCGGCGTCGGAGGAGTGAGGGTGGTGGAGATGGGTGAATGGGTTTTCGAGATCGAAGTCCATGGAGAGGGAGAGAAGGGAAGATGTTGAATGGGAGAGAGAGTGGTGGTGGAAGAGGGAAGGCATGGTTTAAAGAAGAAGAAGAGGAAGTGATGATGAGAAAAAGCAGAGGTTTCGCTGTTTCTTAAAAGAAGTTAGAGGAGACTTCAATGTTACTCCTTCCCTGCTTGGTAGTTTGTTATTGGGAACCAAAATTGGAAGAAAATGGAAAGCTATAAATATATATACTTTTTAAAATTTTGAATAATAATATATATATATATATTTTTAATCCATAACGCTTAATATTAGAGCGTGACCCGAGCGGTGTGCTAGCAAGAACAAGTGGATTGTGAGATCTCACGTCAATTGAACAGGTACGAGAACATTTCAAAAGGGTGGCCAACGAGGACACTGGCCCCAGGGAAGATGGATTGTAAGATCTCATTTCAGTTGGATAGATGTGGAAACTTGTCAAAGGGTGGGTTGGGAGATCACACATTGGTTAGACAGGTGCGCAAACCTCTCAAAGGGGTGGCTAGCAGGGACAGGCCCAAGGTGGTGGAATGTGAGATCCCACCTCAGTTAGAGAGGTGTGGAAACCTCTTAAGAGGAGTGGATTGTAAGATCCCACCTAAATTGGACAGGTATGGAAACCTCTCAAAAAAGTAGATTGTGAGATCTCACGTTGATTGGATAGATGTGGAAACCTCTGAAGGGGGTTGCTAGAGAGAACGTTGAGCCCAAGGGGTGGATTCTGAGATCCCACTTCAATTGGGCAGGTGTGAAAACCTCTTACGAGGATAGATTGTAAGATCTCACGTTGGTTGGACAGATGCGGAAACCTCTCAATAAGGAGGGTGGGCAGAGAGGACACTGGGTCAAGAGGGGGTGGAGGGATCTGAAGGTGGCAGAGGACACTGGACCAAAAATCCCATTTCAATTGTACAGGTGTGGAAGCCTCTTAAGGGGGATAGAGTGAAATCCCACGCTCTAACATACGCGTATTAAAACTGTGCTACTGACAACGATATGTAATTGATCAAATCGAACAATATTTGCTTACAATGAATTTGAGCGGTTATCTTTAAAATTTATTTTTAAAAAAAACATGATTTTTTTTATAATAATAAAAAAAGAGTGAATTAATATGTGCATAAAGTTAAATGATGAAAATGAGAGCCTCCTTTTGCACATAAGATTATGGAATATAATTAAGTAGGATTAGGACATGAATGTGTTGGAACTTTCCAAAGGACAAAAGGCATCCTATTTTAATCACATATTTATGGCCTTAATCCTTCCCATTTATTATTACCCATACATTATGGAAATTAATTATGACCAACACACATTGCATCAAATAATAATTCACTCGCTTCCTTTATCAACCATAAAATCTCATTGGATTCTCACAGTCGACCCCTTCCTTTCAACCCAAACACAAAATTTTACTATCTACTAAAGATCAAATTTTATAGGTAATTTTATTCGATTGTTATTATTTTTAAAAATAATTATTTTAAAAATTTTCAATTTTTTATACTTTTAATTAAAAAGCTGTAAAAAATATCTTCTACCTACCCTTTCTAAAAATTAAAATTTTAATATCATACCAGTCTTTTTTTTTAAATGATAGTGTAAATATTATGATTAGAGTATCTAAGTCAAAAAGTAAAATATTTATATATATATATATATATATATATATATATCAAATCAGACAGAAAATATTGTAATAGTCCAATCCTACGGCTAGCTGATATTGTCCTCTATCAGCTTTCCTTTCAAAGGCTTCCTTTCAACATTTTGAATCCTACGGCTAGCTGATATTGTCCTCTATCAGCTTTCCTTTCAAAGGCTTCCTTTCAACATTTTGAAAACGCATCTATTTAGAAGTTGTCCTCTATCAGCTTTCCTTTCAAAGGCTTCCTTTCAACATTTTGAAAACGCATCTATTTAGAAGAAGTCAAAAAGTAAAATATTTATATATATATATATATATATATATATATATATATATCAAATCAGACAGAAAATATTGTAATAGTCCAATCCTACGGCTAGCTGATATTGTCCTCTATCAGCTTTCCTTTCAAAGGCTTCCTTTCAACATTTTCAATCCTACGGCTAGCTGATATTGTCCTCTATCAGCTTTCCTTTCAAAGGCTTCCTTTCAACATTTTGAAAACGCATCTATTTAGAAGTTGTCCTCTATCAGCTTTCCTTTCAAAGGCTTCCTTTCAACATTTTGAAAACGCATCTATTTAGAAGAAGTCAAAAAGTAAAATATTTATATATATATATATATATATATATATATATATATATCAAATCAGACAGAAAATATTGTAATAGTCCAATCCTACGGCTAGCTGATATTGTCCTCTATCAGCTTTCCTTTCAAAGGCTTCCTTTCAACATTTTCAATCCTACGGCTAGCTGATATTGTCCTCTATCAGCTTTCCTTTCAAAGGCTTCCTTTCAACATTTTGAAAACGCATCTATTTAGAAGTTGTCCTCTATCAGCTTTCCTTTCAAAGGCTTCCTTTCAACATTTTGAAAACGCATCTATTTAGAAGTTTTCACATCTTTACTAGTAATAATATTTCATTCCTTTCTCCAGCGGACGTGAGATCTCACAAATATAATCTCACCTCCAGTCCAATTTATGTAACAGAAAAACATCTTTACCAGTAATGTTTCATTTCTTTCTCCAATCGACGTGAGATCTCATAAATATAATTCCACCTCCAGTCCCATTTATGTAACAGAAAAAAAAAAAAAAAAAAAAAAAAANAAAAAACTGTTTTCCCAGCTCACTCTCTTATTTCCCGTCTAAACGGTGAATCCTCTCTCAATACAAACCACGACCCATAAGTGGGGTCCGAAGAACGTTCCGATAGCTTTAATTTAGGGGGAGAATTTTGTATAATGATTTAAATGTTGACCAGACCACTTTAGAGGGGATTTATTTAGTATTTTGTAAGGCTTTCTCTTTGGGTGTTGTTGGGTATCCTTCTTTCTCTGCATTGATCTAAGAGAAAGTGTAAAGACACCAAATTATTTTTCTTTTTCTTTTTTAATTTTTAAATTGTAAAAGCTTTTATAAATGGGTAAATAAATATAAATATAAATATAAATATAAATATAAATATAGTATATGGTAAAGCATTTTTATGAGTGGGTATTTCACGCCAAACCCCCCCCCCCCCCCCCCCCCCCCCC